TCTGATGTCATGTTGCCACACTCTGAGTTTGACAGTACAAGGTACTTCTGTAACTGCAGCTGCTGCAGCCTCAAGACTAGCTGCTGAAACACCATAGCCTTGAGCCATCAACCATCCTTGCATAAAAGGTATCTCCCAGGAAACTCGATCACTTAGTTGAAATGACTGCCGAATCTGTCCTAGCTCAAGGAGATCTGATCGGTCTTGACTGCTTTGAGGGCCAGTGAAAAAGATAGCAGGAGAAGGATACCTCAAGCAACCCACAGATGTTGCTATAGACATTGAGGAATCTAGTGGATCTATTTCACTCACCTGCTAGCCACATAAGTTTAGAAAAGGTCAGCAGACAGTATAGCAAACGAACAATTTAAAAGAATCCTTATAAGGTAAGATCAGTCAATGACCTCTGCGGTCAAGAGCAATGGAGCCCCGTGAGGGTGAAAGTGTACAGCTCTCAGAGAACGCCTTGTCTTCAATATAACAACTGGTGGTGATTCCTCTCCACTCATATTGTAGTGCCACATGTACAGCTGCAAACATATCATGAATGAAACTTTATGAGATCTTTATGGCTAGTGTTTTCATAAGAGGCAAAAAAGAAGAACCACCTTATGACCAGAAACAACAGCAAGCAGTTCACCCTCAGCATGGAAAGCGAGAGAAGCAATAGGCTTATCTGGTAAGAGATAGAGAAAAAAAAAAGGAAGAAAGTAAGATGATCTGCAGAACAAGGATAAAAAAGGAACAAAGTATTCTGATTCCTAGAGCTTACCGAACTCATGAGATTTAATACACTCAGAAGTTGTGACATTCCAAAAGCGAACATTCTGATCTAAACTACCACTAGCAACTATTTCTGAACGTTGCGGGTTGAATCTGACCTGTATAAACTCAAACAACATTAGCTCTATAAGGGAAGTAGGCTACAAACAGAAACACAATTGAAAAATGTTGAAATAGTATCCAACTTAATGATGCAACTCCGACACAAAAAAAAACACAACTTAACCAAGCAAATGATAAAAGTAAGAACAAAAGGGGAAGCATGCTTAGACTCACCACCCAAGGAGTCCTCATATGGCCGGTCAAAACTTTTAAGCAGTTACCAGTTTGGAAGTCAGTAATCTTTACAGTATGATCACCACTACAGAAGCAAAAACTACAGGTTAATTCAAAAAAATGCAAATAACAAAAAAACAAAAATGGCAAAGAGTAGATAACTCACTGGGTAGAAGCAAGAGTTTTGCCATCAGAACTAAAAGCGGTTGCAATAGTTGATTTTGGAGAAACTCCAAAAAGGCAATACTTTGCAGATAAATGCTGCAACGACTCTGCCTCAACCCTTTCATCAATCACAATGGGAATTGTCAAAAAACAAAAAATGGCCCTTCCTTTTTTTTGCAATAAAGAGAAGAGACAACAGAAAAAAAAAACATGAAGCGTACCATGAAGGAAGAGTTTGTCCTGTCTGTTTCATAGGTGAGTAATAATAACTACTTTTACTCCAACGTTTCCTCTGCACAAACTTTGCTTTTGATGAAACTTCCCTCTGTGCTAGCATGCTTAACACGTTACTCCTCCCTCTAAACACACAAAATCCAGGTTAAGATGGATCTAACTATAATCATCACTAATCTAGTTCATTACACATAATTCAGATTGATGATTTTGAGAGGCAAAGATTGTGAACCTGCGGCGGTGGAAATTGGCCAGGGATTTGCGAGGTGAGATCATGGAGCGGAGAGGAGAAGATTGATGATGTTGGGAGGAGCAGGTAGGTTTTTGAGCAGTCATCTTGAAAAGACAAGACGAAGAAGAAGAAAACCCTAAAGCACGCGAGGCGATCTAACAACACAAAATTCTCAAGAGAGCCGCTATGTCCCGCCAGATATAGTGTTTTGGTTTTAATTGTTTTTCAGGGTTTTTTTATGTTTAACCTAAATAAATAAGAACCAGCACTTGTGTTTTGTTTTAGCACACGTGTAATGTTTCATTATATAATAAAGAAATCTATAATAAACCCATTACGGGCCCAGACTTTTATTACAACACAAAGATCAATCAAAGTTGACACAGCGAAAATAGAGCCAAGATCATTCGGTGGCTTCCGCTACATTTGTTAAGTATAGAAGAAAACTGTTACCACGACATCTCCTGATTTGTCTCAGGCCCCCTCTGTCCCGGGTGATATGGTTTTGGTTAAATGGTTTGTGTCTAAGGAAAGCTATAGAAACTATAGTTGTTTTGGTTAGGCACCATATGCATCTCAACGGCTTACATCATCCAAATATAGATTACACTATCATTTATCTTACTAGAAGTGTTTATCACAGTTACACAACTAGGCTTGATTGATATAATATTATCTACGACCACTCGAGGGCTACATATGCTACCTGATCGACCTAAATTGTACTTTTAACAAAGACTCCAACGATAATAAATACACGACTACTCTAAATATATACTCGACCATAAACGGAAAGAATGAATCATCTCTTAAATCACAAAGTTACAGAAGACATGATCTAACCCTGAAGGCAAACCGGGCTTATTGGAGACTTCCAATTTAAATCGTAGCTATTGGTCGTCGTAGGATCAGAATGGATCAACAACCTCTACACAGGCTTTTGTCTACCTAAAATGGTTTATTCAACAACAAATGAAAACTAAAATGACTACTATTTCAAATTGAAAGTTAAAGTAGTTTAAGTGGAAATTCAAAATGGTTTTTGGTCTTTTGGAAGTTGGTATTTTCAGAAGTTATCTCAGAAACGAAATAAAATTATGCAATTTTTTCTGTTTTACATGGTAGCCACATGATGAGGGACCAAAACACCAAACAGTTAAAGAACTTTGGGTGTCAATAGCAAACACTGCCCGGTCCTAACTACTATAACACAGCTCGTTTCTGCTTTTCACGCTAAACCGGTTTGGTGTCATTCATCTCTTAGTATCCGGTTATTCAAAACCACAGCGTACCAAAACTCAAAAAGCAAAGAATATGTTCTGCAAAAGCGAACAAGGAAACAAAACAGAAACTATACACACAAATATGGAACTATGTCTCTGTTGTAAACCTATGACTGTTTCTGGCTATCTAACCGGTTCTCTGGCTTGTTGGGTTTCCCAGGTCCCCAAATACGGATGGTTTGGTCATCACTCGCAGAGGCCAGCATCCGAGGATTTCTCGGGTTCCAGCTCACACAGTTAACAGTCATGGAATGACCTGATAACACTTCAAGCGGTTTCTTGTTCTTCAGATTCCATATGTAAACCTGTGAACAAACCGATCTAAATATCAGCAAAAATCAACCAAAAGAAAGGAATGCTATGTGCTCTTTACCTGTGAGTCCTCACTTCCACTGGCGATGAACGAACTGTCCAACCCACCAAAACACGACCGTATCACGTATTTGCTTTGTCTATGACCCGAAAACTTCCGTGGCTGTTTCCACTCTCCAGCAAGATCCCAAAGATGTATCTCTTGGCTGCTCAAGTTGACTATAAAGAACTTACCATCACCGGAAACCGAAAGGGAAGTAATCGGCTGTTCTTCAGTGATAACACGTTCCACTAATGACTCCAAATGCAAGATCCTGATCTCTTTATCCGAAAATACTGTGATCATACTCTCCCCATCCGGCGTCACAGCCAGATCCACCACCTATTAAAGGAACTTGTTCATTTCAAAACCAAAGCAAGGAACCTAAACAAACAAATCTATTTCACCAACTACTAACCTTTGGAATTCTCGTTCCTCTCCAGGCTTTGATCTCGTTCCCATCAGTATCCCACATTACAATCCCTCTCTCTGGGTCGGAACTGCCGCAGACAAGGCGAGTTGAGTCAGGGAACCATGCGCAAGAGCTTACAGTGAATCCGCTATCGTTGTTTCCAAAGGTGTGTCTCAACGAACCTGTGTCAACGTCCCATAGCTTAAGAACCTCAGCGTTTCCGCATGTAAGCAGTTTTGTATCGTCTGGGCTCCACGAGACAAAAGAAACTGGATTTTGGTGGCTCTGAAGCGTGTGCATCAGCTCGACTTTGTTGTCATCCAGTACCTGAAACCAAGATGTTTTTAGTGCAATACCAACCTATATCAATCTATCACAAGACCAGAATCAACCATATCTAGAAACCCTAAAGATACACAAAATTATCAAACCTTAAATACTAAAACCTAGTTACATGGCTCATAATGACAAATCTCTATAACTTGCAATATGGAAGTTACTTTTTATCGTCATTTAAGTGGCTTCTACCTTCTATACCCAGACTTCAAGCCAAACCAAGGCATCAAAATGTTATTTCCTTAATATTTTTTCCCACCTCACTGAACTTATGTATTAGAGAAACCAATGGTCTAAGATATTTACCTTCCATATCATAGCTGTACAATCACTTGATGCAGTGGCCAGATATTTGCCACTATCAGAAAACTGCACAAACCACACTTCATTTTTGTGAGCCATCAAAACCTGCAACATAACAAAAGATTGAAAACCCATAGGTAACCAATGACAGAACTATCATAATAAAAAAACAACATACAGCTTACTGAGGAACAACACCTGAACAGTTTCTGAAGGGATCTGGTCTCTACCACAACAATGATCCTCATAAAGCGATACAACATCCCATGAGTTATGATACAAACACGTATCAATCTGGTTCATCACAGCAGACTCAACCAAACGCTCCAACCTTCTCTCAGGAATCACAACAGGCGTAGGAATCAACTTCACCAGCTCATCCAACAACCTCCTCCTCAAACCCTGAACCAAACAGTCATCAACTTCACCAGGCTCCATCTCCTTGGAAGTAAAAATATCAAAAGCAAGCAAATGAATCTTCTCCTTCCCCACCCGGGTAGCTTCTCTCTGCAACACACTCAAAGCCAAAGAAGTCTCCCCTCGTTTCAAATACTCAGACAAACACTGCTTCAAGACCAAATACAAAGCAGTGTTCCTCCTCTCATCATCCCTCTCATCATCGAAAACCCGGTCGAGAATCTCTAGAGAACCATCCCAATCCCCACTCAAAACTTGCTTTTCGAGAAACTCAAACTCAGAGGATTTACAGGAGATGTTGGATTCTTGTTCAAGACAAGAAGCGGAGTTCTTGTAACCTAAGGAGTAAAGGCATTGGATAAGAATCCTGATGAATTCATGTTTCTTCAGTAACCCTTTTGACCCTAATAAAACCTCATTCTCCATAATCTTTTGGACCACTTGTTGGTAATAATAAAGCTTAAAGATGATGACTTTGTGAGATACTCAAGAAGATGCTGTTCTTCCACACTCAGAGTTGGTTAGTTAGTTGGAAAAAAGGTCCACCAAAATCTCTAACCGAAAAGTACAAACACTTCCCGCTGAAAGTACACAAAGCTAATCTAAAAAAAAACAAAACTAAAACTAAAAAAAAACACAATATTCGACCCCAAAGATAATAAGAGGCTACAAAGGATCTCAGATTTGGTTATTGTGAATTTAAATGTCTGAAATCAATAATCTAACAGAAGAGACTAAACAGTAACTCGAAGGAACGTAACCATTTCGCACGGAAACGGGAAAATAAAATCGATTACGATGTTAAAATCGTGTTCAAAGCTCTGAGCACGATGGGAGAAGAAAGGGAAATGGATGAGAGATTTAAATTCGATTGGGAAATGGTGAGAGAGGAGAGATACCAACAGAAGCTCAAAACGAGAAGAAGAATCCTTTCTTTTGGTTGGTTTTTTAGATTATTTTCGGCGATGATTTTGGATTGATCTTTTTTTTTGTGTGGGGGAAGAGAGGGTGGAAAAGCATATACAGTTTATGTTGTTTTATATCGTTAAGCCCTATCGCTAATCCCGTATCTATTTATCTTTTGATTTTTATTTTCCATATTTTCTGTTTTTGTTTTTTGTATTATAATTAAGCATAATTTTATGGAGAGTTTAATTGGATTAGGGATGTTATAGAATTTTTTTTTGTCCAAATCTTCTTTAATTGGATATGGTATTTTTACAGATTTAAGGTTGTTGGATACTGTATAACAGTTGTACAAATCTTGTTAATTCTATCACTATTAGAAAATATGGATATCATTGATACTGTATATCAAATGTTATTTTGGATTATTTTTTTGTAAAAATAATTACACTTTCAAATTCAACAGAGGAATATACCATGTAGAGAAATGGAATTAAATATTTCGTTCTTTCTAAACCAGTTGAAAACGGAAAAATAGATGGGCAAATCTCTTAAATAACACATTTCTAAATTTATGTCACAAAAATAACACTTAAAAACTAAAATGACCAAAATAGCGTTTTATCTTTTGAAATTTTTTTTAAAAAAATATTTTTCAAAAATTGAAATCTTATACCCAAAACCTCACTCTCCGATTTTAAACCTTAAAACCTAAATTCTAAATCCTAAAGTATAAACCCTAAATTCTAAATCTCATCCCTTAACTCTAAACTCTAATGTCTAAATTAATTTATCATTGGAATATAGGTGTATATTTATCTCTTTTGATAAAATATTAAATGTTGTTTTGATCATTTTTATTCTTAAGTGTTATATTTGTGACAAAAACTTTTTAATGTTATTCTAGTTATTTTCTCAAAATAGATTATTGTTCTTTTTTTAAATCAACTACATAATAAAATAGATTATCTACTCTATTAAAATAGAGTCATTCTTTTTATCTACTGATACAAGTTGTCATTTAAATTTGGACTCTTTCTAGAGCTTTACAAATAATACAAGTCATATAGTTAATTCAGCCGCATTACTTAAACTAAACCGATAGTTATTTATGGGATATAGTCTTGGGCTTACTTTTTTTTTTAGAACAAATTATATGGTTTGGTTTTTGGGCTTAATATTAAGGAAAAACTCAAAAAACATTGAATAAACTTTCCACCTTAATGGATAAAAAATCAGTTATTATTTTCAAGCCCAAAAAGTATTTAATATTTTTAAACAAAACAAAATTGTCTATTATTAATCATTTATTTAAATCATGTACTTTAAAACATGTTAATGTATTTTTTTATATTTTAAATAACAATCATTTTGTTTTGATAAATTTCAAAGGTAAATTTTAAATAATTTATAGTTTTATTTCTCTTAAATAATTTACTGATTTAAAAAAAAAATTAAAGCAAAACCAAAAACCAAATCTAAAAACTAAAATCCAAAAAAAAAACTGAAAAACGTGTTATATTTTTTTTCTTTTATTTATTTACAAAACAAACTATTGCAAATTTCTTTAAAAAATTTTTTGTCATCTTTTCAGTTTTAAATTCGATGTTCGATTATTTGGGATTTGTTTGTTAGTAATATATGTTCAAACTAACTCAGCGGGTCTAAAAATTAAAAACCCAAACCAAAAGCCGAAAATCAAAAATAGAAACTTAAAAAATAAAAACCAAAATCTAAAACAAAATCTAAAAATATAAACTGAAACTAAGAACTAAAGAATAACAATCATCACCACAAATTTTGGTGAACTGATTTTATCCCAAAACATTCTTTAAATTTAGATAAAACTCAATTACATAAATTTTTAATCATAAAAAATTTTCGCGCTTGAAAAGCGCGGGTCAAAATCTAGTATATTTTCTTTTGGATGAGTCGGTTGATTTCTATGGAACCGGCATGTTCCGTTGCGTTTCATACTTTATTGCATGCTCTGTTTTAAGTGAAATAGTTTTAGTTTAGGAAAATTGTAATTGGATTTTAATAATACCCACGCCACGAGAGGCTGAATGATCAGTAGTGTACCAGCGGCAGCAGGAGCAACGAGTTTAAGAGGAATCGGAGGTGCTTCGAGTTAAGGTAGCCTTTTCAACCCCAAGGCATACACACAATGGAGATCACAGCTCGTTTCCTAATGCTTATTTTACCATCAAAAGCATCAAAGGGACTAATGCTTGCTTATCTTTTGTTCACCACACCATTCTGCCTTGTGAAAGATCATCATGTTTTGATTGTGATGTTTTCCTCCATCGTGATTCTCGAGAGTCTCGTAATCCAGGGGTCAAATGCAGTATTGATTTGAAAATAATCCCATGTTTTCAATATTTTATTCATAATAGGGACACAAAAGAATAAACATTTATGTGACATTCGAAGAATTTGAAGACCTTGAGAAAATAATACAATCGGTTAGGAAATGCCACAATTTTTTTTTTCTATCTATTTTGTTACTAAAACCATCTCCAATATATTTTTATATTTTTCCTTTAAAATATGAAAACTCTATAATAGAGATGGATTTGTCTCCAATGTATTCATCTTTTTTTTCCTCAAAAAAAAGAAAAATTCTTACTATATTCTTCTTTACTTTTACAAAAAATACATTTCATTTGTGAAAGTTAAAAATCAACTCAATTTAACTTAACATTTCATAAAACTATGATATCATTTACACTAAAGATTTTTTACAAACTATTATGTTAAAAAGTATGGTTATATTTATATAATCCATACATTTCAACATAAATATTTATTTTTGGTTATAATTATTAAAGTAAAAAGCTAAAGAATCATTTTATGAATGAGAAAGTATGTCACTATTATAGAGGAATGCTATTTCTTTTTTCTGAATATAGATGTAAAAATAGCAATCTCTATTTTAGAAAAAAAATAGAGTAGGGATGAAATGATTTTTGCTCTAAATGCTATTATAGAGGAAAATACATCGGAGGAGAGGGTTGGAGATACTCTAAAAGACATAGCAAAACAAAACTAGAACACATTTTGTTTGCTATTTTGCTTTAATTATTATGTACTCCTTCCCCTTGTGCAATAGAATCTTATGGATATATACCATTTACAATTAGTTACTTTATGTTTATAGTAGTTTGTATATTATATCTCACATCTCAAAAAATAAGATCAAAGGTGGAGTCAACAAAAGAGTGAAATTTTATTATTTGCTCAGTATTGAGTAAAACTATTAAATTTCTGAAAGCCATATATAATAGGATAAAGATTTATGAAAAGAAAAGTAAAACCAGAGAATCCATATACAAAACATTATAGCTGAAAATCCCAAATATTTATGTATCCAGATGTTATTCGAAAAATGTTTACGAGATAAATTTCAGTTGAGGAAATGCTTCCAACTTTTTGCGTATTGTTAGCTAGAGAATAAGATATATTCTTCCTTGAAAACCTTTAATATATATATATATATATATATATATATATATCTTATGCTTTAGCTAACAATAATCAAAAGCACAAAGATGTTAAACAACATTGGTTCAAGTTTGATGACTGAACTAGGATATGCAATGCCTTTAAAATAACAAAAATCATAAGATTTCATTTCTGCTTTAAGGTATGAAAATGTTATTAGTTTGATTTTGGATATGCCAACTGATTTTCTTAACTTGATTTCTAAGTACATGTTACCATCTCAAAAATTTTACTGGAGAAGGCGGCGATCCCGGAAAAAAAAAAAGAATATTCAACTATTCTCATTCTTGTTTGAGAAATAACATCTTTGAAAAAGATCATCCAAATAATATTTGGTATTTTCAAATTAAGATTTTTGATATCCATATATAGACCTAGTTTTCCATATAAGACACAAACAGAGTTAGTATTTGCAAGTGTTGCATCGCATAACTATCTCGTGAGAAATGTCGTTTAGATAAAAGAAAATCTAGAAAACCGTCTGATAAACAAAATGTTATCCAATTAAGTACTAATGATCGTCAATGATTATCTGGCACACACAAACAACAAAAACATGCTAATGAATGGTGAACAACGATTGCTTCAACTATGTAGAATGATGTTATTATTAGTGAACCTGAACTGGCAATATTTGATATCCTTCTCCTCGATTGTAAAGTGTGTGTCCCGTGGCTATGTTGAAAACAGTTATGTGATCACTAGAATTTGAGTCTCCTGTGAAGGATGGGAGTCTCAGCTTATCTGTGTGATGAATTTAGATGTCAGTGATCTTCTTCGTGAATGGATTCTTCTTTTAGTTAATGTAATTTGTTTTTTATAGTGTTAATAGATGCTTGACCAAAAAAAAAAGTGTTAATAGATGCAATTTCTCTTATAACCAAACTTTTTCTTTCTTTCTTTTTCTCAAGTTAATACCACCTTTTAGTCATGTGGACCAAATTTTGTTTATCTAATAAACATTGTGAAATATTGAATACATTTCCAACTGGAGCGAAACCAACCGTCAAAAGCCAGAAAATCAAAACAGCTCCATCCCAATAAAGCAACTCTTCAAAACAGCTCAGCCAAACACTTTACTTGTGTACCATGTGAACAGATAATGAGAAAAAAGTATTTTGCACTAGTAACCGACCAAATAGTAGCAATTTATTAGTGAAAATAAAAATGACAAAAGTCTCAATAAACCGAGTTATTTATCGCATAATGTTATTGAATGTATAGATTTGATGCAGGTATAAACACATAATTTATTTATGATTTTGTAGCACTTATTTTTATAAAAAACAGTGCATATTTCATCCAAAAAGCACTGCATATCATCATCTAAATTCACAAAAGAAAAAGCATGTATATTTAACTTCCATGGAAAGAGCCCACAAAGCTTAGTCAAATATGTAACCATATAAACACAAAACATCCATGAAACTCCCATATTGTCATTGTTCTATTTCGCAAACGAAAACAAGTACTTAATAACAATTATCTCTAATGATCTCTAATATGTAAGAATACTTTTTTTTTTGTTGGGAGACTTTCAATTTTTGGTATCTCACAAAACGATAAAAATGATATTTGATTTACAGG